GACACTCCCGCCCAACTTGGTGTCATCTGCAGACTTACTGAGGGAGCACTCAATCCCCTCATCGAGATCACTGATAAAGATGTTAAACAAGACAGGCCCCAAAACTGAGCCCTGGGGGACACTGCTCGTGACCGGCCAGCAACTGATTTAACTCCATTCACCACCACTCTCTGGGCTCGGCCATCCAGCCAGTTCTTTATCCAGTGAAGAGTACACCCATCCAAACCCTGGGCAGCCAATTTCTCTAGGAGGATTCTATGGGAAACAGTGTTAAAGGCCTTACTAAAGTCGAGGTAGACAACATCCACAGCCTTTCCCTCATCCACTAGGCAGGTCACCTGGTCATAGAAGATCAGGTTGGTCAAGCAGGACCTGCCTTTCATGAAGCCATGCTGGCTGGGCCTGATCCCTTGGTTGTCCTGCACATGCCTGGTGAGCGCACTCAAGGTGAAGTGCTCCATAATCTTCCCTGGCAAGGGGAAGGTATAAATGAGAAAACTTCAACAATATTTCCCTTACTGAATTAAAAAAAAAAAAAAAGGTGACTACACAGGGCAAAGAGAATGAAATAAGACTGTACCTGTAGGCTTGAGTTTCATTTTCATCGAGCATAATGGCACTCCCACGCACATGGTCTTCATCCGAGAAGTCAGGTGGATGAGATGCTGAGCTCTTACTTGGAGGAGCTGACAGAGCAGAACTTGAACTGATGCTTCTGGAAGTCCCACGGTGCTCAAGGAAGTAATTGGTAATAATTTCAAGAAGTGTTTTCAGTGGGTTCTCCTTTGCCTATCCAAAAAGAAAAATAAAGCTCTTTGTGGCCACTGAAACTTTCTTAGTCTTGCTGCAGCCTAAGATAGGATATTCTTTTTACACTGTACAGTAGCTGAACATATTAACTACTTCCTAGAGTTAGCTGTGTCTGGGTGTATCCTACATTGACTGTGCAAACAATCCAGAAAACTGGAAGATGTCAGCTAGAGAATGCCAAGAGCCTGAAGGTGCTGCTGTTGAAGTAGGAATGATACAGAAGAAGCAAACTGTTACGGTCATTCCTTATTCCTCTTCTAGCTAAACATTGGAAAGTATGGTAACTGTGCTAGAACACCCCTTCTCTAACATCACCTGGTCAGCTTCAGAGGAATGAAGAATGAACTGCAAGGATTTCCAGTATCTGACTTCAGCATTTGTGGTTTATTTTATCGGAATGTGGTGAGAAACATGGACTCTAGAACTCTATTCATATGCTTGGGTAACTCCTTAAGTACAGGGCAATGCCCCATCCCACTCGTTATACTGTTTTTCAACAGTACGCTGGAAAATGTGTCCTGTGTACATGATCATTTCATTTAAAAAAAAAAAAAAAAAACAACCACAGAAGTTTAGGGCTTAAGTAAAAAATGCTACAATGTCTGCTGTAGTGATGCAACTACCCTGGGAGATTTTTTTTGAGGTGACTTATTGCAGGATAGCCTCGTGCTGCTTACCAAAAGCGTCACGGTGCCTTAAGTCAGGAGTGAACTGAAAATGGAAATTATCCATCTGATAATCAAATATTGCTTTCTATATTACATTTCACAGAATAATAAATGCTAGAAGTGTAATTTTATTTTCCAGGTCTTACATAAAGTTGGAAATAGAAATGGGCATATAAGGGTATTTCTAAAATTGAATAACTTAGCCATAATGATGGAAAAGGTGTGAAAGTCAATAACTGCTCCTGGTTTACTGGAGATTGCAGTTCATAGCGAGGGTTCATGAACTGTCAGGCTCTCGTCTTCGTCCCATGAGCTGCAATCTCACCTAAACATTAAGCTCTCCGTTCCTCAGAGAACTGTCCGTGTGTCCACAGCAATGCAGTGCCAGACACAAGCTTGAGTTCTGTGCAGTTTGGACATACACTGCAGTCTTGATCTGGTTGGCCCATTTTCATGGTATCTGACACCACGTTTTGGGGAGCGCGATCTGTGTCCTTACCTTGTTCTGTTTGTACAAGGAGTGCAGATGCAGGACGTTGCGAAGTTCATTCCTGTTATTGATGCTAAGTGCAGAACGCGGAAGCTCTCGGTCCATGGTGGTGATGGTTTTCTTCAAACCCTGAGAAGGAAAAGTGTTACATTTCAGAGTACTTGAGACAGTGCAACTTGCCAAATCTTTATTCTGTGTTGGATATAATGTGAAACTTCTGGATACATTAAAATGTCAGTAATTCCTAACAAGCCAACCCTTAGAACCTGTACTTTAATGGTACAGTCTTGAATTACTACAGCCCACAGATGTGAAAATAATTAAGGTGGCAACATTGTCTGTGAGGTGGAAATTATCAAAGATGACGAAGACCTCCATGCAGGTGACTTCAGCTGCTAAACAGCCTCGTCAGACTGACTGGCCTGTATGAAGGCCCCTGCACCTGGGCTTCTGGTTCAAATAGTTCCAGAAATACTGAGCTTGCTTTTTCCATCAAGATATGATACAGCTTTTCATAAATGTGATTCTGACTTGGGTCATTACAAAGTCTGAACGTCAGGTGTACGCTGTCTCTTGGTGGGTTCAGAACGGGTTTCAGAACCTTTTATCATGACTTGAGTTTATTCTGATCAGTCTTGGGTTGGAAATCAGTCAGATCTCCACGGCACCGGCTGGTTTGGGGTCTTCAGACTTCCTCAACTACTTTGTATCTGCAGTCAGCATACATGGGTGCTTGAGAGACAAAACGTATGGGCACCTCACTTTCTGGAGGGAGAGACCAATTTACTGTGAAATGTCACAGTCAGATCCTGAACAAATTCAAGTGGTACAACAGCAGACCACCATTTTGGGAGAAAAAGTCCCGATGTCTTCTCTGAAGGGCTACTGTTACAACAGAGGATTTATTTTTCTGCAGATGGGTTTGTCTGGCTCAGATTTAGGGTGCTCTGGACAAGTTGTGGCAAGTAAGGGATGGTTCTCAAAGTGGGCTCTGAATGTGCCTTAAAGCTTTGGGGGAAGCAGGGGAACGCTTGTGCGGAAGCACGAAGGATTATCAGTACCCCTTGTTTTTGACTCCAGAACGTAGAATAATTCAAGAATAAGTTACTATTGTAAGCTGAATGGTCTGTTTCACCAGCAGGGCATTCCCTTTCCTTTTATGTGTTTATTCAGTTTTCCATTTACATGTATCTCACTCAGAAATGTCTTTTCATGTGATAAATCTTTGCAATCAATTGAACAGACAGACTTGAGCCTCTCATACTTCTGGCAGTAAATGGCAAGCAATGAATTCTGCGTCTGAAATTCTGCTGGCAAACGTTTCGGCTTTGTTCACAAACACTGAAAACGTGATTTGGAGACGGGAAGCAAAGCAGATGAAGAAAATTGAGGTTTGTGCAGCACTTCGTAAGACACGGGCTGTTTAATTTCTAATACAAGCTAACTCATTCCTGACACTGAGGAACTGACTGGGCTGGACACCAGCAATATTTCCTTCGGATTGAACATAAATACAAGGCAGCAGGTGCTTTTCACCTGGAAACGTGAAGGTGCTTTTTCTGCTCAATCCCAGACTCCCCACACCTACGTACAGTACAAAGTTTCCTTTATGGCATTAAGATTTTGAAAAGTGCAACGGCCTCTCTCCTCCCCTTCTCCCTTTCCCTTCCTCCCAGATAAATCTGCCCTCTGCCAAGCTGTTAATGAAACCGGGAAAAAAAAAATTAAAAAAAAAAAATACAACGTTACTGGTTTCTCTAGCACCAACAGTACCTTTTGCCTCTTCTTTTTTTTAGAAGTTATTTGTCCTGTAAACCTGCGTATGCCTCTTATAAACAGAAGGACAACAAGAAGATAGGCAATTGACGAGAAAAACACTTGAAACTGCCTCTCTCGCTTTAATCTTGGGTTTTGCAGGCGCGGGGGTGAGAACCGGGCTTTCTCAAACGAGGAAGAAGCTGCCGTCCATCTTCATCAATGACAAGGCATTGTGGGAAATGTAGTCCAGGTACTTACCCGAGGGGCTTGTTACCCTGCAGGTCCCCCCGCTTTAGGGCTGGAAGAAGTCCCCCCCCTCCCAGGATTCCTCAATCTTTTAGCACTTCGCCTTTTTCCTGTGCCATTCTCATTTGTACCAGCTGGAGAAAATCGAGAGAAGTTACCTTTCTACTGAGAAATTCTCTCACCAGTGATGCAGCCACTTCTTCCACAAAGGAGTTGTCCATTTTTAGCCCGAAAGGGTGCTTGTGGGGGGCGGATTCTGTGCTTCACCCGGCAAATCACTCGGCTCCGCCGGCATGGCAGCTCCTCGGGGCGGCGTTGCGGGCGGTGCGGGAGCCGCGTCGCTGTGGAGACTGTGTCGTGGGAGCCGGGAGAGCTCCTCCCCCCGGGAAGGGAGCCGGAGGGAGGCTTCGAGTGGAGAGAGCGCGCGGGGTGACTGCGGCGAGACCCCCGGC